GAAGTTCTGGGCGTTGCATAATAGGCCTGTAACGATTAAGCAAAACATCAATACATACATTTCAGTCGTTTGGTCATGACTTCTTAGAAAAGTCAATCGTGATGGATAGGGTTCATGGAAAAGCAAATGAAAAAAAAACACTCACAGAGAATCTGTGAGGTTTCAAGCCTTTCTCAAAGTTTACTACCCTCTCCCCTCTTTTAATTTATGTTCTGCAACTTTTCATCGTGAATCAACTAATCATTCAGCCAATTTTGCCCCCTACACTTATTAAAGTAATGTAGACCCATAAGAGAATATACAAATTTCTATATACTGCAGGTGATTTGTTACTAGATGTCGATTAGTTTAGAAAGCCCTCCCTGGCCAGCCACATTCTTTTTAGGCCAATTTCTACTATTTATTCAGCCTAAAAAGGAGTCTGGTGGAGACTTGATGTTGACAGCCATACACGTGAAAGTGTGAAGGTTGTTAAATTCGTTTTAGATGTTGCATTCTCGTCACTCTTTTCTCCTCATTTTTAATTGTCCTTTCCCATAAAGAGATTGAAAAGAAATTTCATTGAAAGATTTTTTTGCTCTTTGTACAGCAACTATTTTATAGAGCGGACTCCAAGCATCTCCGAATTGCTGAGGCGAATGTAAGTTCAGTTGTAAGGAGTTGTCACTGTCCCGGTAGGAGCTATGCAGCTGGCAGGCACCGGCATACCATTTTAGACTTGATTGTTAATTAGCCAAGTTCGCATCAGCAACGTTAACAAGAGGTAACGACGTACTTTACAAAAAAAACTTCCGGTCACCCTTGTCTTTGTCATTTTCTACACCTAGGCGCTAGGCATCTGTGAAATTATAATTACTTCCTGTGACACGGTGTCTCTGTATAACGACCCGGATGTTGGTTATCAAAGACACGAGTTATAGTTCATTTCACTTCCTAATAACTCCATCTTGAATTGCCATGTTTATTTATTGCAGGTGGAAGACATGTGACCTCACAATAATGGGTAATGAGGCGTGACAAACCTAAAAGCGTTCTCTTTCCTTTATAAGCCAATCTTTTGTCTAATCACGACATTCGACTACACAACCGCCACAAGGTAAGCCGCTCCATCCATTCTCTCTTCCGAAGCATCTCCGGTGCGTGGATATCCCCCTCTCGTAGTAACAGACATATGTTTCTCTTCTACCCATTTAGACTGTTTGTTGTTTGTACAGAAACTAGGGCTGTGGCCTGTCCTTGCTGTTTGCCAACGGACGGAAACGGCCTCCTTCAATATTTGATTTCAGCAGATCAATGTAACCTGCAGTACAGTACTAGCAGTGCGTAAGAGTCCATTGGGCCTACTAATATTCGGTTTTACTGGATACTACACACGACCTTGACCAAGGTACGTCGAAGTTTTCTATTTGAACATTTGCGAAGGCATTTCTAAATTTCCTCTGATCAGTCCTGACCTGTTAATCGGTGTTAACGCCATGTATGAGTAGTATATCAGATCCTGTTAGATTTGTTGATGTCAAAATGTATCTGAGCCATCCACAGCGACCAAAAACATTTATAGCGCGGTCACATTAGTCGTAGGTCGTTGTTATTTTTGATGCCGTAGAAATATTTCATTTTCAAGTGGGCTGTGACAGAACCAACCACCGACAAGGATTTCAACACCATAGTGACCTTTTAACACGACAGCTGAATTTTGCATTTTACATAACACATGTACATGTACTGAGGCTATCCTATGTAATATGCTCTCAGTTTACGTGTGTAGAACGGTCGCACGAGGTAGGTGACTGGGCCCTTAGCAAAATCTAATAATGTTAGATGATGACGTCTTTAACATTCAAAATCATACAATATGTTCTCAGCGGTATGTGAAAAAAAAAGATTCAAGGTTCCTTTGTTGGTCATCAGCTTCAGATGTAGTCCGAACGTATGCCAGTGAAAATAGGAAGGCATTTATGTTTGTTTTTAAGTTGATATGAAAAAAGCCCCACATTCGAATCAGGTCTGGTTTCCAGACCAATCTCGTGAGGAATTTGTCGGGACCAGAGGCAGTGGGTTAGGCTGCCTGACCCCTGGTATGTTTGTAAGTAAACATCATCTTTTGGCACTTACGTCACAGACTGGTCAGCCTGTACACACACGGTAGAGGACAGGCAGATGTTCAAGGTCATAGTTGACCTCTGTACGCACGTGATTTTCATATCTGTTATACTGAAATGGCTGATATCATACGGAGCTTAAACCTACCGGGAAAAGAGAGCACATGTCAACCAAAACTGCTAATACCTATCTATTATTAGATAAACAAATTATACGAAAATAATGACAAGTAAACTCAATAGTAAGCAGACACGCATCACATAAACGCGAACAATGCGAAATGAAAACAGGATGGTAAAGACGTTGTTATTTATACTTAACGTTCATGCAAATATGATGATTACGTCTAATGACGTTGATGTGCGTGATTCTAGGATTCCCACACTTTAGGTAAACAGTAGTGACGTGACTGTGGGAGTTCAAAAGCGTCCTTGTCATCACACTTACGAGAATTGTAATCTAAATTATGACGCTTGCTGCTAATTCGTAGCGGTGATTTCCATCCATAAATGTCATGAGTGTTCTTTGATTAACACAAATGTTTGTAATAAACGTTTTCCACGCTTCGAAATGATGTACGAGTTACAAGGATTCTAATGGTGCCAATGTCATGTTAGCGTCCAAAATGCAGGACGACCTTCAACTCTCTGTAAGTCTTTGTGGCAGTTCGTGTCTAAGCTGTCCTAATCTTCAGAGTTAATGTGGACACTTTATTGTCGATTTGATAAATAAAACAAATTAAACTAAATAAAGGACAAAATATGCTGGATTACTTTCACAAACAAAATTTGAAAGTTTATACCTCGTTGTGATAATGTTGCCGAATCCATTCCATTATTTCTGCAGTGCTGTACATGTGAAAGCTAGCTGTAGAATACTTGAATTTATTATTCCACAAGAGCTATCCACTATCCAAGATCCCTAACCCTAGCTTGTCCAGATAACGGGATTTTAAAACTGCAGTACCATAACAAGGCGCCAGGGGCCCAAATCTAATCGTTTTGAGGACACACATACATACACACATACACATGGGCCTATTTGGACTACACGCCGAATTCTTAAGAATGAACTTAAGTAGTATACAGGAAATCGCTATTCAGGCGTCATTCTGGCTAACTCCGCCTCTAGGTGAAGGGCATATAACTATGGTTTCCTTTAAACATTGTCTCTGTCTCTCTGCAGTCTCTGCATGACTTCAGTCTTGACATGCGCGCGCGCCCACAGTCTTTGTGGACAAATGGCGTCATTACGCATAACATATGCTTGGCGTTCCTTCAGCAAAACTTGAAGACTCTTTATAGTTTAATAAGAAGCGTACATTGAAGCACTATTGAAGGACACATGACCTACTTGATTGCAAATACCTTAATAAGTAGAAGTTTCTTTAATTTTGTCTTCGGATATATAACTTTCGCTTTCTGATACTTTATACACGGAAAGAGTACTGGGTGTTACCGATCTCCAAGCAGTTGTTGAAGGGGACATAACATTTCTAGGCCAACAGAAAAGGTCGTGATTTTCACTCTTAACATCTGCTTGGAAATACATGCTGTAATGCACGGTGGCGACCTGCAGGTTGTAGGGCTGTAATTATTACCCGAGGCCCTTCCTGTTAACATCACAGGCTTGATGACCACATTCTTATCATACTCGTTAACTTTGTAATGTTTGGGGTTCCAGAACGTAATCTCTGATTAGAAGTTAGGTGATTCTGAACATCATTCATCATAACTTTTTTTTCTAATCAGGGCCACATTTGCATAATTTATGAGGAAATGCTAGAATAGCCTTCTTTGCTCCTATAAGACTGTCATTTGGTGGAAAATATGATCAACTGACACAATTCATGCATATGACACAATCAATGTCAATGTCAGTCGTAAAGGTCCATTTAGTTCGACAGCGACATAATTTGAAATATTGCGATGTTGAAGCATTTTATATCCAACGTAGACTGTCTTTGGAAAGTAACATGGAAATGAAATGTAACTGGAAAAAATACCCGCCGTTACCTTACATTAGTGACAACCTGTAATTTAAATATTCAGAACTTACGTGGGTCTCATGTTTCTTGATCTTGGGAGTTTTTTGTTGTTGTTGTTGTTGCCTGGAACACTATCATTTTTGTTCCAAATGGGTAGACTAACTAAATGGGAAGGTAAGGGCCTTACTTTGGTAAAGGAAACAAACAAACAACAAACAAACCTGACTTTGTGTTAAGAATGCGGATGATACGATACCAAACAGCACGTAATTGACAATTTACTGCATATGTTTGTCCCCATAGTATGTATGATCGCCTTTGACCCCATTTCGTTTTGGGATGGTGAAATCACAACACTTCGGCTTATAATATCTAAAATAGTTTCTTTTTAAATTTCTTACCAACCTGTTTTTCTATACCTCATTATTTCCACTGGGGCAGGATACCACAAACCATACAATAGCCCACCGCATGAGTTAAATTCGTGATGATAACAGTTTGTGGCTAATATCGAATAACCCGATAATTAGACACAGGTCGATATCTGTCCGGTAATAATAAAAGGGAATTTGAGAGGATTGATCCAGCGTCCTACTGCACTGCATAATCTTTGGTTTGTCCCCTACTAATGTATTCACAGATCTCCCCAGAGATGCCCCGGTTAGGCGACAGTGCCCTCATCTGTTAACTCCGGGGTGTCATTTCTAAGCCTTGTTGAGTTGTACAGTCCTCAAAGGAACAGCTTTCAACGGCGCTTAGCAATGTCCTTTTCCTTTTGTTCCATTGTGTGCGTTGGCCTTGTTGGAAAAGGTAATTCGCTTTGTTTTTTCCCGGTGTAGCCGGCACGAAAAACAAGCGCCCCGTTCGTCATACGTGTTGACATTGTGCAGGTCGGGAGCAAACACGGCAAATAGGGGAGTTGTTAATGGCGGTTATGCACGCCACCTGTTCTCACTATCCGCGGCTCCCACACCTACACAACGGCTGATTTCTTTTTTATTCACCCGGACCTCGCCCACCCACTTCCCGACGTCCCTCGCGCTCATGCATTCGCTCCCTACCTTTGCGTCAGCGCGATATTATTAATAAGAAATCGGCCGGAATATCTGGCCGGCTACCACCATTGGACGGTCATGGCACCTCTGTAAGTACGTCTATGATCTATTTCTGCCTTCCATCTTATTTTTCCTCTCATTTGCACCGTTGTGAACGAAGGCTAGTCGATTTTTCGTCAGGGTTTTCTGTAAATTAACGATTGTGTATGGCTATCGGGTATAGACGAGACGAGAAAGGCCGGTGTCCGCCATTACGTGCCTAATTTTGCCTATAGACGCTACATTTGACCCGAAATCGCGGGTGCCCTTCAGCCCTATGTTTCCTTTAATACCATTCTCGACAGAGACATACCAGCATCAATGGCCCCTGATGGTCTCCGTTTTAACTTCCTCCCATCCTGTATATTCCTAGCGGTTGCATGTGTGTATATAGGCGTCACCTCACAAGGAATTGGTAAAATCTAGCCCTTGATAAAAAATCACTCTCTAGCTTCATTTGAATCTCTTTTTACGGATGCCTCCAACGGGTGAGGAGTGATCCCTGGATTGAAATGAAGTGATGAACATGCTCAAATTTTAACACGGCATTAAACTGGAAGTGGCAGGAAATATTTCTGTGATATTTATGGCAATTATGATTAAATATTAATTTGACAGTTAATATTCCTGCGTTTTAGACATTTGCTGAGGATACACCTGCACTGGAGAATTCATAGACTCTTGCGCCTGCGCACTAGCGCAGCGACATCGGCCCAGAATTCTGTAATATAACATTCGCTGCTGAGTGGGCGCTAAAGATAGTGCTGTTAGGCTGCCACAGATATATGTAATAAGGGAAATGAACCATGAATGTCATTCTAGCGACTGAATGAATCTTGTCGGCGGGGAGACCGATCTTGGCAACCCAGACCGTGCCCGATCTCCGAGTTAGCAAGAGGCAGGTAGAGGATCCGAAACATGGCAACCTGTATTTTAGGTCAGCGGATATGTTGTTGTTAATTATTTCTCGACTGTATAAGGCGTGATTTAGTCTGAACGGTATCTGCTATAGACACAGTAAAACCATATTCATTATAATTATATAAAACGTTATATTTTATCTGTTGTGTTTACATACACATATTTTTCTCTGACAGGATAAATAATAATCTACTGATGATGAGTTATTTACGATACATAATCTTAACAAGGCTGGTGTGTGCATCGGTTGTAGGATATCTGCACATTTACGTCCCACACTCGGAAAGAAACATTACAATGCCACTCTTTGCATGGAGGGGAGGGGCAAAGAGAGACACGGCTTCCTCCAACCATCATCACCTCACTGCAATAATAACGTTAACGTTGTTGCATGCAATGTGTTTGCATTCGAAGGTCATAAATTTCAAATTTCGTGTTTTTATTTCACGCTGTGACTTTTCTTGTCATCTTGTGAATGTGAGGAAATCTCACAATTGAACGAGAATACATGGAGGGAATAGCAGTTCTACGCTTTAGGCCGTAGGCGTGGGGAGGGGGGCTATGTATCTACTTAAATCCCACACGACGCTTTATTTGCATCCTATAAATAATTGTAAGTAGTACCTCATTCCCGCGATACATTTATTGACCTACTTTATCATAACGGCAGCACGTTCTGCACACTGCACGTACTAAACACCCAGGGTGGTTACATCTGTTCTACCACCACACTCATTTCTATTCTGCGCAACGTTTATGTCGATATGGAAGTGTCGTCATTTTGTTACGTCATTACGCACCGCCTTCTTTATAATTTGTATTGAAAGGAAACGAGCAATCGTAATTCTTCTATGCCTGTTTTATTGCGTAGGAGGGAGTTATATTTTTCATCTGTTCTTTTTATTAGCGAAGGTCGTCTTGCCATGGACAATCCAACGTTGTGTTAATGAATTCAGTGTGGGTATTATAGGATCCTAAACACGTGTCCGTACGTGGAACACTAGTTAGTAAAAGCTTCACGGTTTAAATAGGTGGTTTTGGATGGGGAAGGGGGCATTTAAGGACGAATCGCCTCTCTTATCTTAGGGGGAATTTCAAGAAACAAAGCTAGAAGATGATGCTAAGGTTTTGTTCTATGTAAGCTTGGGTCAATGGTTTTGCTATTACGGTTCCATTTACAGAGACTGAAATACAGATGTGACAGATGTCAACCATTCACACGTAGGTGAAGTGCAGAATATATACGCACAACTAGTTTCTATAAGGTGAGTCCACGGAGAATCATCGCCTCGCAGCTCAGCCCAAATTTTCTGTAAGCTGGCGGGCTCCACAACCCGCCCACACCCTTCCTCCGCCACCCCCGCAGGCCGAAATAATGGTTCCGCCTTAACGCTGGCCAGCCAATGACCCAAATGGGGCCCAATATCGTTATTACCCATAGTTCCCCCTTGAGTTCTGCCGTGCAATAGTTAAGATTCCCATAGCGGTGTCCAGCACCGCTTCACGACCGATCCTCGCCCTGCTTCCTCTACCATGCAACCTCCGACGTTACCAGTATTTTGGTCTACAAGCTATACATTTCACAAATCGGCCTGGGGCGGGCAGTGCAGGGCAGATGTTGGTTGTTTCCGTAATGTCATGATTTATGATTTTGGGTATTGCAGGGTTTTATGTTGACACGATACGACAAACATCCGACCACAAAACCTAATGCCATGATAACGTACGATTGAAATGCTACGTTTCAGTTCGATCTTTGACCGTTTTACCTCAACCCCCCTACGATGTTGACCTTCGAAGGTCCACCTCATTCCATTCCCAGATGAAAATATATCAGTTACGTATCGTAATGATTTCAGTGTGGAGCATATTGCCAAGGTTGTCTGCTAGTTTTGCCCATACTAATCATGACCTTGTCCGGTCTTTACGCCGCGCCATTGACATGATTATTCCGCGGGCAGTAAGTATTGACTGAATTGCAGACGACAAAACCGACATGCCACACCAAATAAATTAAAGAACTAGGTTGGCTTGTAATGTTGTACCACAACATTTCTTTTGCTGCTAAACACACCCTGCTAGGCAGGCTAGGGTTTACTACAGACGGTTTAGGCTTTAGTTGTATTTTCACTGTTTTCCACTGAAACTCTAGAAATATCCTGTACTTCTTTCTGTTCCACGTTGCTGTTTTCATACCCATGTGTCCTTCACCTTTCTACCCAATTGAAATACGCGCACGTTTGTAAAATATACTTAACGTACCCTCTCTTCCATAAAGGAGACTGAATCAGATTGGAGCTTCATGCTTTCACTGAAACTTCAACCTGTGTTTTCTCTCCGTTGCTCATGCAGTCATGACCCCCCATGTCCCTTTCCATCTGTACTGAGAATCGTAGTCTATTTCAGAAAGCGATTTAACGTCATTCATTCTTTTTCCACTGAAACTCTGACGTTATTTACCTACGAGTATCTATGTTTGTTGACATCAAAGCTACGTGCAAGCCTCAATTAATAAGCCCATGGCAAGTTAATTGTATAAATTTCATTGAAGGACACTACGTCAAGGCGCTACGTAACCATAACCGTAACCATCTTTCGTTGCCACCAAAACATCCTTTATTTATCAAGCGACGCTGCTTAGCAACAAATCTCTAAGTTGAATATATCTCTGTATTATTTACAAGTATTCTTGTGATTTGTATATTTCAATGACGCATATTGTAAATTTGAACATTTGGTAATTTTATAGCTGTTTCCCCCCAGTTTTTAAGTCCTTTCATTTGAAAATCAGGTTTTAAATGAATGTGCTGATTACATCAGCTATAATTCAGACTTTAGCCTGAAGGCCCAGGCACTCTTCTGGTTACGCGTGGACTATCCAGAACCGTGCCTGAGCATGGTTCTGTATAAAACACTGTTCTGGATACAACAACTAACTCACTAGCGTCGGTGACTGTGTTGCGTCAACTTTTATGGTCTCTATTTTGAAAAAAAAAGACTGGAAATTTTGTTATTTTCCTCGCTCTCGCATTGCATTTGGGGTCTGTAGAGAATGTCATTCATAAAATTGTCTTGCTGTTGCCTAATTCGTCCTTTCCCTTCCTGTCTGCCCGGTGAATCGTGCGGTAATTAGCGTCCCTCTCACAGGCACTGTTGTTGGGATCTTCGATGACGTAATGGACATCAAATTGAGAGGGAGATGGCGTCGAGCCAATGACCCATATCAAGCTATTAATTACCTCTGGCAACGAGTTAACTTTTCACCCTGCTTGGTTTGTAACGAGGCTATGTTAAAAAAAACTTAGTTCTATAAATCTTTTTGCTCAATAGCGGTTTAAGCCCGTAAACGACGTGGGTGTAATAGTCCGAGATATTTGCGTATTAATCGGTGCCAGATAGATATTGGGGAGTGGGAAATAGCTAAATCGTCTTACAGAGGACATATGCCACCACTACCAATCATGGTAACATGACAGTTGCTTATTACGTCAGGCAGCAAGCAAGTCACTCCCATAACCTTTCTCAGGCGAATGTCAAATGCATGCTGAATACACCTTGATGGCGGTTATATCTGTACCGACAGTTAGCTTCACACTTAGCGATGGAGATGCCTGTGCTCTCAGCGGATCTCATTTTTTTCCTTTTTAAATCCTAATCAATGTAGGAACATTGCTCTTGACTTAACGATATCATGACCGTTTTCTACCAAAACTTTATAATAGTCTGGCTTATAAACATGAAATGACTAATGGAACAAAATGACATGTTTTTGTTTAGCTTATAGAGAAAGTATTAATAAGTCAGTATGTAATACAGTGCTGCAATTGGTACAGTGTTAATTGTTAAGCTAACAACGGCTAAAATCCCTTATAATAAGGCTACTATCTAGGCGTCGCATAGCAACAGAGAACGTTTTCGCTAGTATGTCCTACGTGGGCTCCGACGCTTACGTGGGCTCCGACGTTTACACCAAACTTGTACCGCTGATATTACTTTAATCATATGGCGGGGGTTGATTTCTTAGAAATCCATGTGTCGTCTTATCTCCAGAAGCAATCTCGGCGGCCCTGCCCACCCACGTACGGGTCCAAGTGTGGGTAGACTCATCTGCATATTCATGCTGAAGGTGCATCGAACTTGTGGTAAATATATGTTGATCCGAATCCCAAAACAACCATACTTGGGAACAGAAGTCTTGCTAAATCAATTGATTTCTCAGATTCCAGATGATTAGTGGCTCGGAAATGTTTTGTTTAGTAGTCAGCTTGCTTAGAACCTGCTTAAATCATATCTGTAAAAAAATCACTCTCACAGATAAAATATAGTCAAAGAACAGTAAGTATGACATTCAAGCAACTCTACAAATGGTGTTACACATGTGATGTTAGTTCAGCACCATGGACAGGTACTAACGCCTGTTCTACGTTTGGTATATGGTATAGAATGGAATTTGCATTGGTTGCAATGCCCTGATGTATCATGTAGATTCAAGAGAAATTGGAGCATTGCAACCTTCCCCCTAGCAATGACGGGGGCACCACAAACTTTCTGCAACGTATAATCCACTGCTCACGGTGTCACGTGTGTATAACGTGACGTCACAGAAGCGGTGGATTGCACATTCCTTGGCAATGACTGGAGTTGTACGATCCAGTTCCTTGTGTTGGAAACTACAGTTCAAACTTGCTGAATAAGTCATCTACTTGAGTTGGAATTCTGCTGGACATCTGCAAATTCCTCCCCCCCCTGCCCCGTGCAGATGGTGCCGTCCTTGTGCTTCTCATGCCCTGAGGCACACTGCCACATCAATCGCCGGGGAACTTCAATGGAACACATTAGGGGAAGGCTTAGTTAAAGGTTGTCATAGCAGGGAAATTAACCATTTCATATTCCATTGGCTTGGAGGTCCAGATGTTCCCAGAATTTCCTGATATCTGGGAAGGTCACTTGTTTTTGTTGTCGTGGTCACTTGTTTAGATGGTTGACACACCGATATTTGCAGCCCAGCTTTTGGTACGGTTTATCACATAGGAACAAAACTAAAGGGTTATGGTGCAGCAGTAATTTTCATGAAGGAAATAAACAATATAATTCCTGAGATGTGACATCTAATCTAAGACGAAATCATTGCAGAACGACGCAATATTCCCCTACATCCTACGATAGATCAATGTAGACAGTAGGCATGACATGGCGACTTGTTGTGTTCATTCTGTATTGTTTGAAGGCGGTGTATGTATTCGTTGTGTCTCATATGCTCCGTCTTTACCCTATTCGTTCTAGTGACATCTGAATAGCCCGTGGCACAACTGGTCTGATGTATGTGCTATGTCACTGATTGTCCTATACACGTCCACTGGGCGGGTTCGTGTCGCATCATATTAATTGCATTAGTTTCGGATAATAGCGATCAAGATGCAGCACTGCATACATGTACATGTCAAGGGGTCGTCCTGCTATTATTTGTATCTGACAAAACCGCAGTGATGTTTGCAAGAAACGTTATAAAGAAAACGTACAAAGGCACTGACCACCCCACATGATGACATGGTATTCATGAAAAGATGTGATATCTTATCAACAATGTCTGTATCTAAAACTCATGTTAAATGGAGAAATACACCATCATTTAAACATATTTTGGGCTGTCAATTATAAATAAAGCACGGGTCAACTCTGCTAATGTTCTTTTAATGAGTATTATATATCATCCAACTCTTCTTCCAGAATCGCTGGACCAAACAAATACAACACTAACTATGTGAGGTTAGTTCAGCACCAAGGACGGGGACTATGAAGCGTTTGACCTACGTTAGGTACTTTGCTTTAACAAGCAAGTTATATCATTAAGATAAAACATTTCAAATGAATTAAAATGAAATGTATCTGCGGGCACACCTGACTTAAAGATTTGTCATTATGAATATTTTCAATGTAATACAAATGCACGTTACCATACGAAAGCTACCATATTCATCTATTGTCTGTACCATTTCAGTGGATTTGACCTCTAACCGCCATCTTTGACACGTCATATCCGGATCGTCGAAGGATGAGGCAGGATCGAGCGGAGGGTGGCGCACACGTACCTCAGGCCGCGTCTTCAGAAAGCAGTCCACTGTCCAGATCATCGTCTCGGGGAGTCCCAGGAAGCTGTTGCCTCTGTTTCTGCTGCTGCTGCAGCTGCTCTTGGTACGTAAGAAGACTGCTCTTCTACATGTACCTGTCCCATGAGGCAGAATGTACCTTTATACCCCCTTTGCAACATGTCTGTTGCTATCATTATTCCCATTTCTGCACCACCAAATTACTATTTTTATCCGTTCTCTATACCACCTTCTAAGGGCATACAAGGGAGTCGACAAAACATTTATTGCTGCGATTTCTCTTAATTTGTTCATTGCAATGTACTCATATCTGGTATTTGTTCTGGACAACTATCAAGCGCAGTCAAAAATGATTTATTGAATATAAATGCTAGAAAATAAGAAAATAAAGGCAATGATAAGAAACTATTGAGAAGAGCACACACAGACCAACTATCATCCGGACGTTTATCACAGAAGGGTTCTTATATATATGTGCCCAATAATTGCTGAAACCGTTATTCGTCAAATGCCATGATCATGTACCGGGACACTTCTCTCTCGTCCTGTCCTAAATACGTGACAGGAGCCCCCGTACTGGCAGTAAAGCCGTGGACATGTTTCCTCAGCTTCTGGAAGGGATCCCTGAAAGTGTCCTCCTGTGTGTATGTTTATACTGGTGGATGACGTAATCCTCGTGTTTCGCGTTGGATCCTTTCTTCTAAGTCACGTTCCACCACTTCTTATTTTCTTTTCTTAGCCCCTCACAGGGAAGAAAAGTAAAAGGCTAGGACGAAAAGCTATTGCAATGTGTGACGCTGACTCCATGCAACATTTGTCTCTGTTCACGTTTTGCCTTTTTTCAGAAAATTGCGTCGATAGTGGGAAAGGATACAGTGTGTGCTCGAGGAATACGACACGGGGACATGTGTGAATACGCGTCCAGGACATAGCTCCTTAGATAGATCGACTAATCACAGCATTGCAGTAGGGATTG